GCTCCTCCTCTCCCTTTGTCCAGTTTCCCGGGCAAAAGTGTCACCTGGCCCCAACCCCCTCCTGGCTCAGGTTACAGGCTCAGGTATCGTCCCTCAAATAAAGTCATCCCCTGCTATCCCATCCCCAATGCAGACAGTCCCATTAAAACTAGACGACATTCCCAGGTCAATCCACCCCGCTCCCTACTGCGTCACACCATGTAACTAAAATCAGAATATGGCCCCACCATGAGTAGAAACCAAACAGAGAATCTACACAATGCAGCTCCATTAAAGCTATGCAGCTAGATTCTATACTCATGTAGCCCCCAATGACTTCACATATGTAACTGAGGCTAAAAATTGACTAATGGGCATTGTTCCTGAAGTCCCACTGCACATAATCTGAATTAATTTGTCATCATTTACCACAGTGGATTAATATAACACAGAGAGGTTATATAGAACTGGGTAATTATGCCCACTTTTATATTTCTCCCTTAACCAAACCCCTTCATCACCTTGCCTTTCTGGTTTGAAGCCCTCAGGAAACATTGGGGAAGATGCAGCTGTCTCAAGTGGTGCCAGTGATTCCAAGGCATATTGCCAGGACAGGGAATGCATATAGAAGTGACTTCTCTGGAATGAATTTGCATTTTGTTGGTTTCTTTCTGCCGCGGTCCTCAATTTAGTTCTGTTTACAAGTGTCAGCAGACTTAAATCCATAGAAATCAGTGGGCTGGAATGGAGGAGGGAAAAGAATGATCTTGTGTTTTAGGCACTGTATTAGTATTCAGAAAATCTGGGTTCAAATCTGGGACTGCCACAGACCTGCTGTGTGCCCTTGGGCAAGTCACTTCATCTCTCTGTGCCTCAGTTCCCTATCTGTAAAAAGGGGGGGTTATAAAACAGACTTTCTTCACAAGGGGTACGGTCATTAGTGAGTGGGAGGTGCCTGAATTATCATTACAGTAATCAGGACCATGCAAGTATCTTAATTCATGGAACACCTACAACCCAACAGGTTTGGAAGAGTCATAATGGTCCCTTCTGGATTTACAATCTATATTAAGCAAAGAATGCCAGGCTGCAGGGGCAAACTAGTCTGTGGAGGTGCCCATCTGCTTTTGGAACCAGAGCACAGGGGAGATTAAGAACAATGCATAAAAATGCGGGCAGAGAAGATAAAACCAATGCTCCACCTCCACCGCTGTACACTGTCCTCCATATGCTGCCTCCTCCTCCGCAAGTTTCCCTCTAACTCCAGTCTGACTCAAGTGACTGGTAAATGGTGACTTTAGATTGATCAGAAAGGGCACCCACACACACAGCTGTGTGTTTCCAGTCCTCAGCTTGTATCTCCCTGCTACTGTTCAGGCAGCAACCAGATATTCGGGCGGGTGCTGGCAGGATAGTGGATTAGCCACAGATATGTTACAAAGAGATAGGAGCCCACCCATTCTGAACACACCTTGTCTCTCCCATCAGCCTCTTCAAGGGACAATTAACAAGGTTATTTTGTAGATGCAGCTTCTGCTTTAAAATAGAAAGTGGAGGGCTGTTCTGTTCAACGTGGGCTGCGCTGAACAGGGGACAGGGATCCAGAAGAATAGCACAGATTAAGTCCGTGTGCAAGCTCCAGGTGCACAGTATGTGGCCATGGAATAAACTGTCTGCATTGTGGTTTGTAGCGTTCAAGCATCACAACCCTAGCTAGAACCTGCTCGCTTTTGGACGATATTGATTTCCTTACTCTGCGGGGGGGGGGGGGGATGCTATGAGGTCCACTCCTTTTCTGCAATAGCGGCTGATCCAAAGCCTATTGAAGTCATTGACAGCAAGCCCTATTATTATTTATTTATTTGTATTACTTTAGCACCTAGGAGCCTTAGTCATGGGCCAAGATGCTATCATGCTAGCCCCAAGGTAGGGGATTGCATTTGGGGCAGTCACAGTTATTGTAATATCACTAACAGCCTGTGTGAGGACCACAAGTTTGCACCCTTAGGGCCAAATTCCAGTCTTGGTTACACCGATGCAAATTTAGAGTAACTCCACTGCCTTTAGTTATACAGGCAGAACTGAGAACAGAATTTGGTACCTACTGTCAGATCCTCAGTTGGTGTATATCAGCATTACTGCTTTGACTTCAATGGAGTGATGTTTATTTACACCAACTGAAGATCTCACCGTGGGAGCTCAGCTGATCCCATTTCTGCCAGAGTGGTTTTACCACCACAAACAGCATTTCACAGCTTGAAAATGGAAATAGGATTTTTCTCAGGACTTCTCAAAAATTACCCTCTCCAGGAACGATAACCTGGGCGAATTCTTTGTTCTCTTCAAGCTAGATCATACCATAGGCCATAAATATCACCTACATCACCTCTCTACTTATTCATTTTCCTCTTTTCTAAGCTCTTTCTGGGCCCGCAATGCTGGTACTCTGCATCTTGTGCAGTATTTTACCCCAGTGCAAAAGGAGTGCCACATGCTCGTATATCAGAATGGCTGGCTTTCCACCCAGTTTGCATTGACATACATGACTGCACAAAGTGTGGGCAATGGAGAATCAGGCCTTTATCAGCCTCTGCTCCTCTACGTTCTATTTCCTGTTTTTCTACTATTGCTCTTCCTTAACCTTCAGGTGTCCACTTTAAGTAACCCACCCCACAGAAGTAATGAGCAGAGTCAATAATGTGACAAATAATCACCTGGCTGGTTGCATCAATGTCTGTTTATCTTTCTCTTACGTACATGGCATATTATTCCTGTTTGCTAAGATGAGAGGCTGGGAACAATGCCTTACAACTTTGTCTTATGCAGTGTACTTTGTAGCCACGTCGGTCCCAGGATATTAGAGACTAGATGGGTGAGATCTTAAACAAAAGTCAGAAAGGAAAAATAAGTGATGGTGGCTCTCCCAAGCTCCGCCCATAACCCAAATTCCTCCCAGTCATGCTGCCAAAATGATACGCTACTCAGCAGATGGTGCAAATCTTCACAATAGGATGGCCAGTCTCCTTTTTTGGATGCGATGATCAGGAATTTAAAATTTACATTTAAACTGTCGTCATTAGGATTCAGACTTAAAAAGCCTTGGAATATATGTGACATTTAAATATAATGGATTTGTAACTGTAAATATTAGAGGACGGATAGCCCTGTGGTTCATGCACTAGACTGGACTTAGGAGATCTGAGAGCTCTGTTACAGACTCCCTGTGTGACCTCAGACAAGTCACTTCATCTTATGATCCAGTTTCCCAACTATGAAATGGTGATAATAATACTCCTCTTCTCCCACCTTTCATCTGTCTTGTCTAGTTAGATTGCAAATGCATCAGGAGAGGGACCATATCTCAGTATATGTTTGTGCTTAGTCTAATCTCTGTTTGACTCCCCCAGGTGCTACTGTAATATAAATAATAATTGAAAATATGCCAACAAATAAAGACTATATGCTCCTTAATGGCAGAGACTATATCTCCCGCTGTGTCTGGAAAGCACTTAGCACATCTGGAGAACCACCATAAAAATAATTTGTCTGTGTCTCTTACCCGCTAGTGCTTCAGGCTGTCTACAGACTCAGGCAGATATGGCCGCACCGGTTACACTTAGGCCAGGTTTTAAAAGTTTGCTCCACAACTGTAAGGGCAGGAGACCCTATTTTATTAAATGAAAGTTTAGATTCCAGAGGAGCTACTACAGCCACTCACCAAGCTGCAACAAACAGACCCAATTCGAACTCTGGCCAAGATTTGCTGACAAAGTAAAAGCTTCACTTCGGTTTTCCAACAAACGGGCCCAAAGGCAGGTTTTTATCTTATCTATCTTATCTATCTGGTTTGATGGTGACTGTTTTTTCCCCACACTGCCTTAGCTGTTGTTAACACGCACTCTCGCTAGTCCTCTATTCTCTGTACGAGAAGTGAGCGTCAAGGGAATGAGCTCCTGTAAGCTTTTCCCCAGAGAGTTAATGGTTCCGGTAACTGCCTTCCTGTCAGGCTGAGTTAGGAGTCAGCAGCAAAGCAGACATGAGTAGAGGGCTGCATGATGTGTGGCCTCTGGGATTGTTGGTGACTCTCAAATTGCTTCCTTCATGTGGCATCTGCCACCCACGCATACTTCAGCCCCCAATCCCATCCCCACTGCCAGCCACACATTGTAGCCACCAGTCCCACTCCCACTGCAGCCAGCTGCCAGTTTCACACAAATCTATGCACCTCTGCCTCATCTCTGTTCAGTCTGCAAAAGGCAGATACACTACAGAGATGGGCCTGAACCAGGAATCCAGGCCAGCACTTCCTCTTCCTTCCTGATATGTCCTATAGAATTTAATAGGGATGGAACCAACGTGTTTTTACAGTAATTACTCTGAAAAACCTATAGAATTTAAAGACAGGATGAGATTCTTTGAATGGGTTGTTTTAACCATTCTATAGAACTTTACAGCAGGAATATTCTATAGGATGGCTGAGAAAACCTACAGAAAGGAGTGCATTCTCAATTCAATTCCACAGGACTTTTCTGCAGAAAGATAAACTTTTCCAAAGTTCAGATTGATCCTGAACTTCGCATTTCAGACCCATCCTATAACAGGCCCAGGCTGGAATTATGAATCCTAGAAATACCTATTTTCAGCCCATTTGCATGTGGATCTGGGTCCCAATTTTGTGGATTGTGCCTCTGCTCTGAGATATACAGAAGCCTTGTCTCTGAGCAGTTTGTTGAAGGCAACTGGATTTGCTGTGTGAAAAAAAAAATAAAAATAAGAAGAGGAGAACAATAAACAAAGGGACCAGAGAGCTCACCTTAGTAAAAGAGTCTTGGCAGAAGAGATCTCTTAATGCTGGTTTACACTCAGTATACACAAAGAACAGGAGTACTTGTGGCACCTTAGAGACTAACACATTTATTTGAGCGTAAGCTTTCGTGGGCTAAAACCCACTTCATCAGATGCATGCAGTGGAAAATACAGCAGGAAGATATATATATACACAGAGAACATGAAACAACGGGTGTTACCATACACTATAACGAGAGTGATCAATTAAGGTGAGCTATTACCAGCAGGAGAAAAAAAACACTTTTTGTAATGGTTTCCACCAGTGCAGCAGTACTTGCAACAAGGTTCACATCACACTGCAGTGATACAAACTAATGCAGCTACACTAGTGGCTAAAATTCCTGTACGGACACAAGTAAGTGCAATATTGTAGGAGAGGAAATACGGTTTATGTTAGTTATAGCGGCACAGCTAGATACTGTATCTATAGCCATCTAAATCTAGCATAGCTGTTTGACATCATTATCAGATGACTGAATGGAACCATGGTCCTTATGCTTTCAAGAGGATCACATGCTGATCATGCCTTTTAAGACTGTGAGATGCAGCCCATCTATACGTTTGCTCACATCTGTTGAACCAATGAGCCATCACAGCAGAAAGCAACCGCTGCTGCGCTAAAGGTTTCGTGTCCTGGAAAAGCAAAGACAAGTGTACTAGCTCTAGTCTCCCATGAAGTTCTTTCAGTGTCCTGCCAGTATTTCTCATCCAAAAGTACCCACTTCCTTACTCAGCTGCTAAGATCTCTGCTCGCCATATTCGCCTTGGATGAATTCCACCCCTGTTAGCACATGATTCTTTATCTGAGCCAACAGGAGGCTCTGAGGGCTGGTTCCAGGTCCACCCTTCTGCTGAAGATAAGAAAACAACTGGCCTCCTTCATAACAGTCCTAACAGAAAGACAAGAAATGAAGAGGCTATGGAGATGAGCTCATCTATCAATCCTATTAACAATGGGACTCTTTCTATTGACTTCATTGGGCTTTGGATCCAGCCCAGCTGGAAGGCCTGAGGTGCACCGGCAGAGACAGTACAGGGGTGGACGAAAGTTGGTACTGACACTGCCTGTGCGGCCATGCTGGGCAGAAACAGAAGAAGTCAGGATACCCAGCGGTCATTGCAGCACCTTTCATCAGCATTAAACCAAAAGAGTCTGCAGTCTGATTTTCCCTGGGCAGTAATTCTTTCTGTCCTAGAAATCCCCATAGCTGTGGGTTAATTGCAGACTGAGATGCTGCAATTCCATGCAAAGGTCCAATAGCTTTAGGAGAAAATGGCTTCCACTGAAAAAGAAACTTCCATAAACTCCTCAATGCCAACTAGCCAGAGGTTACAAGAATATCCTGATCCTGGTATGTCCAGTCTGGTTCACCAAATATCATGTGCGGTCTTAAATGAAAACGAGGGCTACGCTTATATCAGCTTCTCAGATGCTTATATCATGGTGCACTGTATGTACAGATACTAGTGAGAAGTTATGTATGCATACTGCAAATATGTTCCTAAAGTCTGTATCAAGGCAGAACTGACAATCACGTTTTCTGCCAGACAAAAGGTATTCATTCATCTCTCTCTCCGGCGGCATGTAAATTAAGGTGAGTGCTGCACCCATGAAGACACACTCACTCAAGTAGGGCTTTGCAGTGTGGCCACTCATGCCCCAGCTAGGCCAGCCTGAGTGCTCAGACCCAGTGCTGATTACCCAAGTTAACTCTGCAGTGAAGACATACCTCCTAAGATAAAGTGGTTCTACCAGCTGCCTCTGGTCGCAGTCTTGGGAACAGCACACTTGGCATTTCTGAAGGATATTACATTAGAAAATAATTAGTAAACACATGTTACTTAACCAACAAACAAGCTTCCTTAGTCACTAGCATAAAACTAAAGGAGTTTCTGTGGCTGGCAATTGGTGGATGCCTGTGTAAGACAGAGAGGTAGGTAGAGGCTTTTTTCTGTGCTGCTGAGAAAAGGTGTGTTTTTACCATGGGGTAGCTAGCACGCATTAGCCAGTGAAGATAAGGTACTTTAGTTTTACTGCAAGGTAAACTAGGTGAGGTCACCCCAGGCAGGAGGTACAGTGCCGGCCTCGCCTAGTTTCCCTCGTGGTGAATCTAACGTGACTTCTCACCAGTGTGTTGTTACTGCAGGATAGCTAATGTGTGTTAGTTACATCATAATAAAAACACCCCTTTTCTTAGCAGAGAAGACACAGCCAAAGTGTGTATGAGAGAGATACAGAGAGCGAGACTGTGTGTGTGTATATATGGGAGAGTAACAGCAAAAGTTAAAAAGAGAGGAAGCATGTAAGAAAACCTGCGGCCTTCAGTATTTTACCTCACTTCATTGAATCCCTCCATTATCTTTGCAACTCTATCTTGACTTAGAACAATTCCACTTTAAAAATGTGCCCACCTCAGAGCCACAGCCGGTTGTCATAAGGGGCTCAGACACACCATCCCATTCGTGCACTGTTCCATACCAGGCTTGATCCTTTTAAACTGAGCTTCTCAGATGTTTAATGTGGCCAAGATTTTCCAAAGGTACGAGTGGTTTTGGGTGCCCATCTCGAGGCATGTTGAAGGGCCCTGATTTTCCAAAGCATGTGGGTGCTCAGCACTGTCTGAAACTGGGCACCTCAAAATGTGGGTATCCAAAATGTCTAGTCACTTTTGAAAATCTTGCACTGTGGTGATAAGTGCTATATAAGTAGGTGATGATAGATTAGATAGGAAACACCTGATGCATCTAAGAAAATGCCAATAGTACTGAGCTATCACAATTTCATTTCACTTCACATTGACATTGTTCTATCATCACTATTGAATGCTGTTCTTAGAACCCAACTGTTGCCCTGATTCTGCGATCTGATCTGATGACTACAATGGAGTTCTGTGCAGGCAGAAGGGACACTTGCAGAATAAGGGCCTACGGACTACCCGTTGACAGGTCACTTACGGCAGCTGTTTGTGGCAGCCGCTCCAAAATCTGATTTCCTGTGGCCCATTTCACAAGCAATAGAATGAGCTTAGCAATGGGCACAGTAATGACTTGCAATAGAAGAAGAAATGGAGGGAATTAGGTTAGTGCCAAACATATGTATACACTGCAGTAAAACAAGGCTGGGCAGTGTGAGAAAGGATACAAAGCTTTCAGAAGAAGCACTTGTTAGGGCTGGCTGGCAAGACAAGCTAGTTCTGTGGTGAACATCAAGTCTACTCATGTGAATAATAGTTGATTTAATAAAGATTGGCATTATTGTTAAATACAGGCCTTGTGTCCCCACTACCTTTTGCCGTCGTTCACTCATGTTCAAACTGGGTATAAAATACTTGCACTGGAATAATCGATTACACAAGATGCAGAGCAATAGAGAGGCAAATCGAGTGAGTGTAAAATGTTACCATTATGATATGCAAGTGGAGAATCTGGCCCTCTCGCTTTTTCAACAGAAATTACTTTGGTGATGGAATATCCAATAGAGAGCCAGATCCTGGTGTGAATTGGCATCATCTCTATTGACTTCAGTGGAGTTATGCTGATCTACAACAGGTGACTATCTGGACCTGGGTTTTATTTCTGGCTCTGCCACTGACCTTGAACATGTCACTGCCAAGCTCAGTGCCTCAAACTGTGCCTCAGTTTTCCCATCTGTACAATGGAGATAATGATACATATCCACCTTTGTAAAGTACTTTTAGCTCAATGGATGAAAAGCTGCTATAGAAAGGATGAGTAGCTGTAGTGTTGCAGTCCTCCAAGAAAAACTTAATCCTCGGAGAAGTTACAATATCACCCACTATATAACTTGCTCCCTTTCTGTGCGAAATTTGATTTGGAAGCACTTCCAGTTTGAACCACTGGAGATTTATATAACATTCTCTAAAGCGTGATGTCAGGACAGGTCTAAAATAATCCTGTATGCACATTAGTTCACATGCCCACAGTTCATTCCACCCCAGGCCATTGTGATATAAGCATGTTGTTCATTCATGAAGACAAATTCCTTCCTGACCCACAGAGACAAGATGGGTGAGGTAATATCTTTTATTGGACCAACTTCTGTTGGTAAGAGAGACAAGCTTTCGAGCTTACAGGGAGCTCTTCCTCAGGTCTGGGAAACTAACTCAGAGTGTCCCTGATAAATACAAGGTTTAGCATAAGGAGTTAATACATATTTCAAGGGACCATTCAAGGTACACAGCCTCAATACAATATATTTCTTGTGAGCTGTACCCAGAGTGGAAGTTTGTTATGAGGCTCAGTTTGGGCACCATCAGAGCTAACTATACACCAAAATGATTTCTGTGGACTAGTACATGCAGGTCCATGACCTTCCCAAATCAGATAATGAGCATAGAAACGTAGTGTCCATATTACAATGACTGAGCAAGTTTTATTAGGCATTTTAATGCCCAGGCAAGTCAGTTAAATCATAATTGGTTTGAACTGACAGTCTCACAAGCTCTGGCATTCTCTGCCTGCAGCTGAGTGCCATTCAAAATTCTTGCCTGACTTTAAAAACTTTACAGGGAATCAAAGGAATAGTTTTCCGTCTGATCCCAGCTCCTAACAGCCCCCACTGATCATTCTAATTTAGGAACAAAGGTACAAGGGAGCTGGCTTTTAGAGCGTAAGATTTGTCCCATGGAAATGAGTCATTATTACAGGTGAGGAGAAGCAAAAGCAAATTCCACTGTAATTTGTACATCGAGGCAACATGATGTATAGGCATTTCCATGGCGTTCCACGCTGCAGACTATACAACTGATCTCAGCACACCCCTGGGAGCCGTTCCCATCCTCACACTGCAGATGGGGAACCGAGGTGCAGTCTCAAATTCTGTGCATCTGATTCTGCGCTCACTCTACACCTTGGAAAAACTCCACTGAGCTTAGGCCCCAATTCAGCAAAGCACTTAAGTGGGTGCTGATTTGTAGGCCATGATTAAGTCCATTCCTACTCAGAAAAACACCCGACTAAGCATACTGTACACTTAAAGCTAAGTAAGCGCTTTGCTGGAGCTACCTGGTATAAAACCAGTGTAAGGGAGAGGATAATCAGTCCCTGTATTCGCCCTTTGAGCCAAGTTCTCAGCAAGGTTCAAAATGAATCATGATAAAGTATAATAATTAATAACAAGTGTCTGTATATAAAGAGCCTGAAAACTCCTGGATGCTTATAGCTACATAACTAAACATGTATAATTTAAAAAAAAGCAAAGGCCGCATGGTCTCATCAATGAACACCAGAGCTGTAGCTTGATCCAAAAGCCCTTTGAAGTTGGTAGAAAGACTCCTTTTGATCTAAAAGGGCTTTGGATTGAGTCCCTCGTCCAGGAATTAAAACACACACATCTTTCCCCCAAACCTACAATACGGTAAAAGACACAAATCCTGAAACAACAGTGAATTGAAAAGGAAACAATCATAGTGATGAAATGAAGTTGTACTTTGTACGGAGAGAGAGTCAGTATGGATGGAAAGGCTAAGGAATGAATGAGTCAGTATATGATAAGATCAGTGCAGAAAGTTTGGTATTAGACCCAGTTAATAAAGAGCTCTGGGCTGGGTTTGTGTTTTGCTTTCAGGTTTTTTTGGTTCACACATTGTCTTATTTTTCATAAAGAGTTGACAACAAATGAGCTTCCTTATAATAAACAAAATGGAACCAAAATAAAATTAAATTGTTTAAAGAGTAAAAGTGGGGGGGGGAAACAAATCTGTAACTGAAAGAAAATAATTGTCAAATAAATAGATGAAAAGCCTTAATGTATGCCTGTAAAGGTTACTGGTCTCATTTTAAATAGCACAGCAGATGAAGACCAATGAGAGATCATTACAATTAATAATTATCTGTATTATGTTAACAGGTTAGCCCTTTCTTTCAAATTCTTGGATGGCTCAGTAAAATGAAAATGGATTTTTACCAAATCTTCCTCCCACAAAATATACATTTTCAGGCTCAGAAAAGGCATGCTAATTTGTTGGATTAATTATTATATACTAATTAGTATTGTTATCATTATTCCTAATAATAATATCTCTTTACTGATTTTAAAACAATGATACAAACCCAAACATTAAATAGCAACTATATGGACAAGAAAATCCTCCCACTTCCTTAACAATCTCATCTTCCTCTCATTATCACATCTGTGATCATGAGAAATTCAACACTGATTTATGTAGCTATCTCAAGGAAAAACCAATAGTTCTTCTCATAGCTCTGGAAAGGATATATTTCCCAGCAGTGATTAATACAGCCACTTTAAAGCTTCACTGCCACTTAGTGGTTACAAAAAGCATTACTTTCTTACTCTGCACTGTGCTGGGATCGGCTCTGTTTGCATACAGAGTTTGTACAGGGATGGAGCAGAGCTGTGCCACTCTTTCCAAGAAATATTCAATGTAAGAGATGCCCCCACATAATTCTGACAAAATGCTGATGCCCCGATGGCTCTTTGAAGGGAATATCTCCCCATTTGTCTAAATGTTTATCCCTGGGTAAAACTAAAAATGTCTAAATCCAGTTGACAACATTCCATTTCATAGTGCAGATACTTGGGACAGATGTTCACATTTGAATGGAAAAGAGAAGCTTAGCCTGTGGGTTCTATTCCTGGCTGAAACTGACTCTATGTGAGCCGTGGCAAGACACTCCAGCCCTCTGAACCTCAGTTTCCCCCTTGTAAATGGGGATAATAACACCTGCCTACGTCACAAGTAGGTCATGTAGGCCAAAATTCTTAACCTTGCAGGCCTAAAGTTGAACACCTACATCCATATTAAGGCAATGGGC